CATTCTCATCACAAAGAGATGGATAGAGGGTGGGATAAGGAACAATGCCACCTGAAATCAACTCCTTAAGAAAACCATGAGAAAACACGTGTGACCCAAATATTCATCTCCCAGCTCAAATATAACTCTTGAAAGTATATCATGCATAGGACGAGGTGTAATTCAAGAAAACACACACACACTGAAAACACACCCCTTTTTCTGACTTAGGACAAGATGCCAATACATAAACGTTTATTCAAACATAGTAAGTATATATCAGAAATAATCCATTTAGAAAAAACACCCAGGAAATTGTATTGAGATGAACTCTAGAGAATGATAAACCCCTCACTCCCAAGAGACATAAAGACTTTGAGATTTTTGTGTCCGATGACTAGTTATGTCATTACTTTCTTTTATAAGATTAAAAAATATATATATCACTTACCGAAACAACTTGCCCATCTGCCCAGCTGGTAGTCTGTAGGAAATTCAAGTGCTTCCTCAAATCTTTATTTCACTGGTCGCCACATTTAATGTCGGGGTGGGGGAAGGCTCTTTTATGCCATCTACTGAGTCTCACTGAAATTATATTACATAGTAAGTATAAACTTATTTTCTTCTGTTCATATGTAGAATACAAACTATGGGTTGACAGATCAGTGTTAAAATAGAATAAACCCCCCAGAATGAAGAGAATGGGCAAGGTATTTCCATTCATGTTAAAAACTTAGCAAATTAGAAATAGATAAGAACTCTCTTTTGACTTTGCTTATTGTACAAAAATTGGATTAATAACACACATTACTTTCTAAGTTGCTTTTTTATTTAATAAATTGTGAATATCTCTTCAGATAAAAAAATAGAATCATATCTTTGTGGCTCCATATTTCACTAGTCAGCTCACTATTGTCTATACTCATGAATTAAAGTAGGGCTGTTAATAATCCGCAGATCATTATTGGCTGAATCTATAACACTTCTCGTTGTAGCTAGGCTGGTGCAGCTGGGAGTGCAGGTCTGGGTGTATTTCAGGAGCTTTGCTTTTCTTTCTGCCTTTTGATCAGTCCACCATTAAAAGTGACTGAGGGTGGAAAGAGGAAGAGGTCAAGATCAAAGTTCTGCTTAAACTCATTTGTAAAGAGGGAAGATCATCATATGCTAAAATAGAATGGATGCTAATCATGCCTTTTTTGACAAATTTTTTTTTTCAGAGAAAATCTAGTATTCACTTTTTTTTTCCATTGATATTTTCAAACTTTCTTCAAAAAGTGATTTTTAAAAAAATTTCCATGTGAAAAACATGCTAACAATCTCTTTTCTCAGATCAGGTCTAAAACACTTGCTTTGTTACCAGCACACACAGGAATCCAATCTGATAGCTCCACTCTGTCTTTTAAAATAACAACAAAATAATAAAATGACAAATGGGCAAATAAAGCTGAAAAATGCTTTACCTTTCAAACTTGCCCTTAGCTTAGCATTGCTTGATGTCCAGTAGCAAATTGGAAAACAATTCTCTGCTGTAATCAGCTTTTCCACCACACTGAGCAAGGACAGCTTCCGTAAACTAAGAACTTTAGGATTCTTTTGACTTGTGATTCTGTCTCTCTGTCTCTCTGTCTCTCTGTCTCTCTGTCTTTCTCTCTGTCTCTCTCTCTCTCTCTCTCTGTCTCTCTCTGTCTCTCTGTCTGTCTCTCTCTCTCTTTCTCTCTCTCGTTTCCCTCAATATCTTCACATTTTGTTTAATAGGGGAAATGTGTCTATAAATATATTTCTGAACCTGAATGAATCTCCTCTCCCCTCCACTACCATATTTCTTCCCTCAGACCCATAATTGGAGATGAGGATGGTCTGTGACTGAGAATTCAGTTACTGGCTTCCAGAGTCATTTGACTTTGTGACCAGGTCTAGAGAGTACAGTCGTCTCCCCTCATTTATGGGGGATATGTGCCAAGACCCCCCAGTAGATGCCTGAAACCACAGATAATACTGAATCCTGAGTATATTATGGTTTTTTTTTCTATACACACACACACACACACACACACACACACACACACACACACACACAACTTTTCACTTGAAGGTAGCACTTTATGGCTACTTTGTGGTATGTACAAATTGCCAGCATCACTACTCTCACTCTTTGGGGTCATTATTAAGTAAAATAAAGGTTATTTGAACATAAGCAAGCACATCTCAGTTGGACTACTCTTATTTCAGGTGCTCGATGTTCACATGTGGCCAGTAGCTTCCTTATTAGATAGTCCAGGACTAGATGCCATTATCATAGCCATGAAAATAAATACAAGCCTAAGTTCAGTTAACAGCTGTTCCAAGAGCTAACTCAAAATAGAGGTTCCATATGTTGGACTCTAGGCATACCTCTACTTCTTACAGTAGCAATCTGACCACTGCAAATTCCACATGCAGGCATTTCGTTTTGGATCCAAAGTGGTGTAAATATCCTGCCAATTAGATGTGAACTGTAGTTGTTTTGTTTTTAGCAAAAGCTTTATTGAGATACAATTCACGTACCATCAAATATTTCGCCTATTTAAAATATACAATTCAATGGCTTTAGGTATACTCACAAAGCTGTGTGACCATCACCACAATCAATTTGGAACATTTTCATCGCCATAAAAAGAAATGGCACACGCTTTAGCCATCACCCTCCACTCGTCCGTGCGCCTCAGCCCTAGATCACCACTCTAGATTGTGTTCTGCACGCAGCCCACCAAAGTGGTCTCCATAAAGTTTGTTGCAAACTACCTGCCTCCAAGAGTTTATCAGAGTACACATTTTACACATTCTCCACAAAAGTAACATTTTACAGATCTGTCAGTTTCATAGATGAAGGATGATAGTTCGTTATTGTTTCATTTTAATTTTCTTTTATTATAAATATCTTGGATGGTTTTTCATGTTTATTGGCAACTTGTCCTTTAGTGAATTACTTGTTCACGTCATTTGTCTATTTTCCTATCAAGGCTACATTTTTGCTACTTAATTATACTTTTTACTTACCTTACCGACACTAACCCTCTGTCAAACTTTTTGCATGTATCTTCCCCCATCATTTACCTTTTCATTTCGTGATGTTTTGACCCCCACACCCACACCCACCCCAAGAGTGGTCCCCTCTGTGAATACCCTTAGACAGCATTACATGTGTCCCTGGAAGTTCAGAAGTGTAAGTGAGCAGAGGGACTGGTATCTACTCTTCTGGAGATTTCTGTTGGTGTAACCCCAGCCTAAAGGCAATTAGGGATTGTGGTGTCATGTACCTGAAAAAGGAGGTGTGTCTCCCCTCGGCTTTCCTTGGTCCACATACTCAGAGAAAGCACAGGAGGATTTCATACCGTGTGTGACTACATATGAAGGAGAATGGAGGCCAGAAGAGAAGACAAGACCTATGGGAAACCAAGCCAGCCGGTCAGCCTGGCCCTTGAATAACTTTGTAGAGACAGCTACCGATCCTAGACCCCATGACTTTATTTGACCTATTATTTAAGAAAGAAAGAAATTTCTGTCTTATTGAAGCCCCTGTGTGGAATCTTCCTGTTTGGCGCTTAGCCTGTACCTTAACCGACATAATCATAGAAAAGGGTATCTGCTTTCCTACCCTCATCCCTGGTCTCAATGTCAGAAAGTTAGATCTGGGAGAAGAAGAAGAAGCAGAAAGTGTGTATGTCATATTTAAACTTGACTCTGTTGAGATTTCTCATTAACTATAGTAAAAAGCCCTCAGAAAGTCCTTGCGGCTGTAAAAATCTCTTTAGGTCTCTTTCGCTACCTATACTTTATTCTCATTTTTTTCTAATCAAATCAGTCTCTAGAAATCTCGGCAGAAATTGACTTCCTCCTTTTCCAGTGTTGTTTTTTGTGTTCTTCTCATTAAAACGCATACCCTCTCCCCCTTGCATTCCAGTCATCCAGTCACTGTCCCCCATTCTCTCACGCCCAACCATTCTATTCTCTTCACCAACCTCTTCCTTTTTTGCACCTCTGATTTCCCAAGCAGCTACTTTCATATTCTTCTCTTTCCTCAAGATAGCTTTTTTCCCTGTTGCTATACCCAGCCGAGTCTCCAGGTTATCAGAGACAGCCCTGTCGACCCCAAGGTAGTAGGGTGGATAATGTTTCCTCCAACCCCCCAAATTAGTGTCCAGCTGGAATCTCAGAATGCGACCTTATTTGAAAGTAGGGTCTTTGCATTTATAATAAAGGTACAGATCAAGTCGAGATCATACTGAAGTACGTAGGGCCCTAAATCCAATGAGAATGTCCTTAAAGGGACAGAAAAGGAGAAGACACAGAGACTTGTAGAAGAACGCCGCGTGAAGATAGAGGCAGAGATTGGACAGATGCAGCTAAAAGCCAAGGAATGCCAAAGATTGATGGCAACCACCAGAGACAGAGAGAGGCATGGGACATTTCTCCCTCAGCGCCTCCAGAAGGAACCACCCCACTGACACCGTGATTTGGGGGTTCTGGCCTCCAGAACTGTGAGAGAATCAGTTCCTGGTGTTTTAAACCAGCCAGTTGGTGGTAATCGTTACGGCAGGCCTTAAAAAACATACACATCCAGCAAAGCTACCAATCTGATGCTGTCTTTGCTCACGGTGCCCTTACCCTTCCAACGTTACATCTACTATGCCCGCCCTTTGAAGGGCCTTCCCGGCACAGGCCCAGGGCCCTTATGCTGTCCCACGGTGGCCCAAAGGCCTCATCCCAGCAGCCCTCCCTAATCAAAAATTAAGGAACCTAATTTGTATTCTCATCACAGTGTTGATAACTGAAAACATATTAAGGCACAGTTCTTGAATTGTGGTAGTGGACTGAGGACATGTGACAGCTGCACACAAACATGAATGGAAAGAAAGCTCTATTTGTTTGGGTTTTTAAGATAAAAATGAGGTCTTTGAAGACATTTCATGCTTGTGGCCATTTGGAGCTATTCATTCATCCAAATTTTTACTATCTACAATGGGCCAGGCACTGTTCTTACCACCAGGGATAAGTAGTGAACAAGGTATAGAAGGTTCTTGTTCTCCTGGAGCTTATAGTTTAGTGGTGGGAAACAGAAAACAAGTAAACAAGATAATTTCAGGAGGTGATGTGTGCTGTAAGGAAATCCGAGGGGACTGGTGTGGTGCGGAGGGGCTGTAGGGAATGCTCCCTTAGATTGCGAATTACAGGGAGACTTCTCTGAGGAGGTGACATTCAAGCTGAGACACGAAGAGGAAGAACAAGCTAAGCATGCTCCTGGGAATGGCTAATCTCCGTGGAGGGAGTGGCAATGTCAGGTGCAGAGGTGGCAGAGATGGGAATCAATGTGGCGTATTCTTGGAACAGCCAGAAGGCAGTTGTGGCTGAAGTGTGGTGGGCAGGGGAGAGAGAGGAAAGAGAGGCAGAGGGAGGTGGAGACAGGAAGGAGGGCAAACCGCGTCAGCAGGTCATGATGACGAGCTTGACATTTGTTCTAACTGCAAGGGGAGGTCGTTAGACAGGAAAATGGCTTAATGAAATTTACACTTTAAAAACAATCACTCAGGTTGCTGCTTGATGAGCGTGTGAGGCAGGAGTAAAAGCAAGGAGGCTGCTTAGGAGGTCCTTGCAGTCCTACAGATGAGAGATATTGGCGGCTTGGTCAGCGTGGCATATACTCTGCTTCAGGGTGCAGAGTGGGACATGCATACTCTCCCCTCATAATAGGTTTTTGTGTTGGGAAACATTCAAAGTCTGTATCGCTGCCCGCATGTAAATGTCTGTATTCGTGAGGGTGAGGCTGAAGATGCTGTATCGAAGGGTCCAAAAGTGTAGTGGCTTACACAAGGTCAAAGTTTTTTTCCTCTCACACAAGAGATGAGCAGTTCAGGGCCTGGTGAGAGGCAGACTTGGGCAGCACAGGGGTAGAATGAGGAGCATGCCCTCAACATGTGACTTTCCGGGAGTAGGTTCTGGATGGCTCCTCCAGTTCTCTTATCCGGTGGAAAGGTGGATGACGCAAAGGACCCCATCCTTTATTTATTAGAGACATGACCCAGAGCAGCATTTAGGTTCTAGATACATCCCATTGCCCAGAATTTAGTCACATGTCCACATCAAGCTGTAAGGAAGTCTGGAAAATGTAGTCTCTAGATGGGTTGTCAGGCGCCCTGATAAAGCTTGCACATTCTAGTATTAAATAAAGGAAAATGGGTATTGATGACTACTAAAAATCTCTGTTAAAGCATTTTTCAATTTATCTTTGTCGTTATCTACTATGGACTAAATTGTGTCCCCCTCCAAATTTTATGTGTTAAAGACCCAATTCCCCATACCTTAGTGACTGTATTTGGAGATAAGGACTTTAAAGAGGTAATTAAGGTTAAATGAGGTCGTAAGGGTGGGGTCCTAATCCAATAGGACTGGTGTTCTTATAAGAAGAGAAAGAGGTACCAGGGATGTGTACACACAGAGAAAAGGCCATCTGAGGACACAGTGAGAAGGCAGCCATCTAGAAGCCAAGGAGAGAGGCCTTAGGAGAAACCAAATCTGCTGACGCCTTCATCTTGAACTTCAAGCTTTGGAACTGTGAGAAATAAATTTCTGTTGTTTAAGCCACCCAGCCTGTGGTATTTTGTTATGGCAGCCCTAGTGAGCCAATACACCATCTTTCTCGACAGTGGTCACGAAGCAGGCAATCCCACTCGGCCTTCTCAATTCTCAATCTTACCCCACCACAGCCAAATGATCTGGCTTGGAGAGATTAGAGACAGAGAGAAAGTTTAGGGAGCTTATTGGCTCTGCTTCCAAATTTCCTCTGAGTTCAGCTGTGTTTCAGTCTTTGGGTCTGTGAGACTCCTCTGTATCCTTGAGAGAAGCACCCCCTTTCTTAAGTTGGTATCTGCTACCTGCAACTGGAGAATTCAGCAGAGGACACAGAGGCTTCCTGGAGATAGAAAATCTTTACCTAAAAAAAATAAATTGATCTCTTATCATAGAGCTTTTGTAAGTCTGAAATGTGTGAGGGTTTTCATATGTGACAAAATGTGGGTTTTGTTAAATTCTAGTTTAAAATGTCAAAATTCTATATTTTTAATGTCAACAATACTTTGTGGAAAATAACATTGAAATCATTTAAAAATATATGATCATTTAGAATGTGTGACAGTTTGTTGTTTGCTCTTTTTGTTTTGGGAGGCTTTGGGAGAGAATTTTTTGTTCATTTGTTTATCTGTTTGTTTATTAATTTAGGAAACAGTTCAACAGAGGCTGAGGAAAATGTACCATTTGGGAGAGGGTCTGTGAAGGAAAGTAAGTGCTCTTCTGAAGAACGAGAAAGGGCTAATGCAGACAGAAGATTACTGCAATAAAATCTCATTGAGGCTTATTTCTTCATAATTATTAATTTTGAAACACCGATTGAGTTGATTCTAGAAGGAAAGGGCTTCCTTTTTCTCTTTAACCACTGCCTTATAACCAGATTTTGTTGAATCTTTATCAGGATCTATCCTGAATTTTGAGCAGATCCCATAGATTTTAGTGACAAGTCTCATTTTAGTAATTACACCTCTATTTCAGGCATTAAAAGGTTCAGACTAGTACAATTTAACACCAACCTCACACTGATTTAAAATTCTCCTTGCCTCA